GATGGGGGGAAGGAAGGGAGGGAGGGAGGGGGAAGAAAAACGCCAAAAGGAAAGCAGAAAGCCCAAACCCTGGAGGTGGTGCTGTAAGGTTATCACCAGACACAATCAACAAACAGAAGGTATCCGAACACAGCCAACAGCAGCCGCCGCCACCGCCGCTCGGCTGCAAACTCCAAGGAGAAGAGCTCAGAGCTGCTCCCCTTTTAAATAATCCATCCTTTCCGAAAGAAATTCCGGACCGAAAAGCTTCTTGGTCTCCCCCATATATTAAAACAGAAAGCAACAGAGGGGGAAAGACGTCCCCACAAGCGTATATATAATCTTTCCACACTCGCACTTCTACACGTTCACAAAATACCTAGGACGGGCACACACTGGTCAAGGAACACACATGTACAACCCACAACACATTCACACCTCACACCATCAGAAGACAGGCAACGCCGCTTTCTTAATTGTGTTTTCTTTCCGGGGGGGGGAGAAGAGGGAGGGAAAAAAAGTTTGGGTGTTTATGCCGCACCGTGTTCTCAAAGTACTTTGGCTGCTCAGTTGTATTTTTCAACAGGAACCTAAAAAAACAAATCCTCCGGCTGGGGGAAATCAACACGTGAACAATCCGGGGCGATCTGCAAAAGTAGCTCGCTGAAGGACTGGCAGAACGTCCGCGGAGCTGCTACACGCAGAGAGACCGGCTCGGGCTCTCCTCTGCCCGCTGCTTCTCCTCTGCCACCATCACAATGATCAAGTGCGTTACTCTTCCACCTCCTCCGCCTCCTCCTCCATGCCAGCGGAGTGATACCAGGACAAGAGCGCTCAATAAACAGATCCGCAGCCGCTCCAGCTTCTCCAGGCCGTGAGGCAGTCCCGGGGACAAGGTGCAAAATCCGGCCCGGACCTTTAGCCAGCAGGAACGGACACGACGATCCCCACCTAATTCCCCCTCCGGCGCCTACTCACGCTACTTGTTACCTTGGGCGGAAAATCAGGTCTGCCAGGACGGAACAAGAAAGGATCCGAAGGGAAGCTGGCGAGGCAGTCAACTTTTGACCTGGTCGCGTGTGATGTGTGTGTGTGTGTGTGTGTGTGTGTGTAATATGCGTGCTTGTTTGTGTCCGGTTTCCTTATGGAGCTTCAGTGCAAGCCGAAGCTCTGTATCATGTTAGCCTAAATTCTTGCGTATTACATTGTCAGAATCTGTGCATGGCTCCGCCAAAAGGGAGCAGCCTCTTCGCCTGCCTTGTCTGATAACCTTTTCCACATGGAAAAGTAAAGAAAAGACGGAGCGGAGGAAAAAAAAGAGGCTGGCTTTAAAATGAACCCTGATAAGCCTCCCTTCTCCCCCCACCCCATTTGAAAATACCCGTTGTGAAATGACTTGTGCAAGCAATCCTTTACTCCCTCACTTGGGAGTAAATACTAATGTGTTTTCAGCCAAACTTATTTTCAAGTTGGTTTAAAGGTAATCTGTTTCTTAACTTCAATATATGTCCATTGTAGGGTATTTTCTGTTGACATTCTGTTATGTT